TCTGTTATGGATTTATGCCCACATGCAAAGGCACAACTTTTAAAATGTGAATAAACAGAGATGGGTAGAATGCTGTTTTGTGATGCTAGACTTGCTTGGAAAGTTTCTGCCAAAGCTAGTTTGTTTCAGGAAATTTTGAGCAAAATGTTCAATAGTAAACTTGTGTTCAGAGTAATATACAAAGATAGTTATGTCTCTCAAAGGCCCTTGGAAGTAGGTGGATCTGGGGCCAGTTCCTTAGCATATCTGTAGCTGCTGCACAATATTTTGAGAGCACAGAGTGGCTCTGAGCACTGGAGCAGGTAAACCCTTGGGTGATGTAAACCTGCTCTAACCAAGAGTGTGGTTCAAGGCAACTCTTACCCAGTTTCCAAAACAATGTGTCAGGTGTCATTGGCAGCTGTCAAATCATAGAGAACAGACTGATGCCTAGACAGGCCTGGTGGAGGGGGGTGTGTGTGAAGTTGGCACACAAGCACATTTATACTTTCTGAGCTGCATTTCTATTTCCATTTTCCAATACGCTCTGTTAGATACTCCTTCATTTTGGTTTGTATCTGGTCCAGCCAAAAGAGATTTATGTTTATTTTTATTTTTCCCTCAATTCATCTAGTGCTCCTGTCACAGACTTCTAGACATACCAAATGAAAATCTAAAAACACGGGCCAGAAAACCAAACTCCGCTGACAAAGCCAACACTAGTAAAAAGCCCTTCCAAAAAAGGAAGACAATCTTCCCAGCTCAACCTCTCTCCGTGTTCTCCTTAGATAATGCTTCATTGTGCATAGCTTTTATGATCTTGTTGTAAGAAGTTCTACAGAAAATACACGGTAGTGTTTGGGTCTGATTTCTTACTTACACTGTGGTCCCTCTAGGCCCCACTAATACTGCTCTGATTATGAAATGGAGCCTTAAACTGGGTGTAAGCTGCAGTTATGAGTAGTGTAAATGAGACTTGGCCCTGCAGAGTGTCAAAGATGTTGGTTCCTAAGGGTTTTCTCAAATGCACAGCACTTAAAACATAAAGGATGACCCATTCAAAAACTGTGCACTGTTCCTCTTAGGTCACCCTTCCTAATGAATTATGATTACTTCAAAAACCTCACCATGTTTGTCACTAATCATGGCATCTGCAAAATCATCGAGATTTTAGTGCATGCAGGAACTGAAATACTTTCCCATCTTTAGAAGTGATCTTTTGACAGGGTGGAGTCATGCTGAGCATGGTCTGGAGTAGTCTGCTTTGCTTTGGTTTGAAATGGCTGTGTCCCTATTCTGTTGATAGGATGAGGGCTTTGATCTTAAGCGATCAGTTCAAGTGCTGTCATTTTGCAGGGGGTTGAAGTGAGGCATAAAATCAGTAATGCTACACTGATTTACACTAGCTGAAGATCTGGCCCATTTAAAAACAAAACAGAACTCACAGCTAATTAGTAGTAGGACATGACCCTTTACTTGAGAGTTTTCATTAGGTTGTTCAGTGCTTTGGTACATGGTACCAAAGGAGGAAAATGTCCTATATCTATGTTTATTTATTTATATGCTGCCCTTCCTAGAAAAGGCTCAGGGTAGCAGTAAGAGACAGAATAACATATAAAGGCAAGTGGAATATTAAAATGAAATATGAAACAAAGATTCCTTAAACTAGGGCTTGGCAACCTATTGCCTGCAGGATGGATCTGGCCCATGAAACCATTTGATCTGCCTGCAGATGTGGGAGGCTTCAGTGATGGTCACCACCATGGAGAGAAGTGGCTGCAACGGACGCTTTCTCTGTGCTGCCGGACAGAAAAGCAGCGGTTGTTGCTGCTGTGTCCTAGCACCCACCTGCCTCTGACATGAACTGGGTCATTTTGGCCTGCAGCCTAAAAAAGGTTGTTCAGCCGCTGCGACAGACAGACAGACAGACAGACAGACTCTAATACCCTACTCTAAATGAAGTTGAACATCCAGCATGGAGCTGAAACTAACAGCTTCTTGACTTCTCTGTAACCATGGTAAATGGGTGGCTAGAGAAGCAGTAGTCCATACTAGACTAAATTCACTATGAGCTAGCATATGGAATGGGTTGCCTAAGAAGTATGACAAGGAGTATGCTTCCCATTAAGGGTTATGGGCAGCAGGATGTTGTCAGTTTGTTTCTGAGAGCTCTCTGCCATGTGTCACCTACTCAGCTCCATCAGTTACGCATTGTCATAAGTGTGGTTTAACTTCCCTTATATGGGCACAGAGGGAGCCACGATTTGTTTTCCTGCCCTTCAGTAGTCTGGAGAGGGAAGGACTTTATAAAGCCAGAGTCTATTTTGCAGTCAGGCAGTGCTGAGGAGACGTTTGGCTACTGAGTTTCTCTTGGCCCTTGCAGCAGTCAAACCCTATGAGCTCTTGGAAGTTCCATAGCTGCAGCTCTGCACTCCAGTGCTGTGCCCAGAGGAGCTGTTGGCCTTTAATTTAGTCCAGACAGTGCAATTAGGTTTTATTGTCCATTCCATTATGTTTTCCCATCCAGCATGTTGAAATGCCCTGATATTTTTCCAGGGTTGAATGCAGTTTACCAAGACTAATCGTGAGCCTTCATCCCTGTTTCTTTAGGGTTTTTTTAAATGACTTATTTTACTTGATTCTTCTTGGTCCAGGCCCAAAATGGCAATTTAATTTTCATGGAAAGGGGCACAATTTCTCAAGAATGTTGTTTGCAGGTAACAAGGCTCAAATATTCAGAACCCCCAAAACAGCCTTCACACCCAGTTTCTTTGTGCATGGATGCTCTCTGCACTGGCTGTTGCACATATAATTTGGTCTATACGTGAAGAACCAATTTGTGCTCCGTTTTGTGTGTGACCAAATATATACATACAAGGGTTACAGCCGGTCCTGTTGTGACCATAGGCAAAAACAGATGCATGCAAGTAAACCTATGTACTGAATAGCTTCTTGCTAAGGTACTGGGAACGCTGGTCCAGTCTTGCACTGCTTCATTGGCACTTGACTCGCATAGAAGCGGAGAATGATACACAAAGGTTTTTAGGTGATATCATTTATTGGACAAACTGCATAGTTAGGAGAGATGTTAGATGAGCTTTTGGGCACAGGAAGAGTTGGTCCAATAAAAGAGATCCCCAAGATACACATCTCTCGTATTATTTCCTGGATCGTTACATCTACAACATCACTCCAACCTACCACAGGAAAGGAAGAAGGAAGGAACTTGCATATAATACTGAAGTGTTTTGAAGAGTAAAGATTTACCACATTTCTTTGCATGCAACATACCCATGTATATAGTATACATCTTTCTTTTGAAGGGGAGTCTGAATGAAAAAATAATGTCATTTGTGGTAAGCAGGGCTCCTGGTTTTCTCTATTTTTATCAGATAATTTTGGATTTTTAAAACCCCAAATTCTCTGACTAAAAACTACAAAATCTGCATTTTTCCATGATTAAAATGAAAGGCCACTATATGTATATAGGTATGAGATGAACACAATGTTTTATTGATATATTTACAATTTTAAAGCAGTTTGAAAGCCTACCAGTGTCTCAATCATTATAATAAAATACTTTCTAAATACCTATGTATTTTGGTGTTTGATTTCATTTTTTTATCATAGAAAATCAGAGCTCCCCCTGCCCCCTTGGCTCACCAGGACATGGGTCCAGCTGCAGCTGTTCCCACACCTGCTTTGTGGTGCTGAGCAGCACTGATGTGCCGGTGCCCTGCCCTTGCCCATGCCGTTGCCCCTCCCCCCCAACCCACAGCCCTCACAGCCCTGCCAATGCCTCTCATTCCTGACCTACAATCCTTGCCTGCCCCCCACTCGCTCTCTTCTGGCAGTGCCTGCTGCTTTGTGGCTCTGAACAGTACTGGCCCCTGTTGTTCTGCTCCCCACATCTGTGCCCAGACCTCAGCAGCCCCCTTGCTCTTCCTGGGAAACCCTTGACTTGGGATCGGAGACTGGGCTGGCCCAAGCTCTGGCTGGGCAAGTCGCTTTCCTTTCAGGCCAGCCTCCCCCTGGACAGGCTGTTTTAGCGGGCCAGGGGAGCTCCAGGCCTTGCTCTGGAAGCCACTTCAAAATGCAGGGCAGTATGTGGGCTAACCATGTTGCTCCTCTCCTCCCCTTCCTGCACCCCTCTGCACAGTGCACTCTCAGCCACCACCTCCAGTGCTATCCCCATCTGAGCTGCCAGTAGCCATCACAGCTGCAGGCCAGCGGGATGTGGTGCATTAGTGCAGTGATCAGTGGGGCAGTGGCCACTGGCACAGCGGATGGGCAGTGCTTGCCCCCAGAACTCTGGCTCCAGCCCTGAGCACCACCCTGGCTGGACAGCACCCTCAACCCTGCTCTAAAGGCACCTCGCCTGGTGGGCAGGGGCGCAGTATGCCATCCCTCCCTCCCTCCTGCACTGAGCTGCTGCCACTGCCGCTCCAGCTGGGCAGCACCCCAATCCCCAGCCTGAGCCCAGCTAGGATGACCCACAGCGGGACGAGGCAGCCTGCACATGCTCTGGCCTTGGCCCGTAGTGCAGAACAGAGTGATTGCCACCCACACACCCCTGCCGTTCCCCCTGCCAGCTCTCCTTGCAGGCCTCAGTCCCCCTGGCAGCATGACAGTCACCCAACCCACAGGTCCCCCACCCGGTCCTTCTTGAGGGGGCCCCCAACTGTCCCTCATCCCCAGGGCCTAGCTCCCAAAAGCCATACTTACTGCAAAGGCCACAGGAGGAAAAGTCAATCTGAGCCAGCCTTGGCTGATTCAGATTCTCAGGCCTTGCCCTGGCTCCCTGCAGACAGGGCTTAGAGTTTCCTGCCCTTCTGCAAATAGTTCGTGCAGGCTGGAACTCTGCCAGCCTGCAGAGAGCTGTTTGCAAAAGGGGAAACCCACGTTTTCCTGCTTCAAAGGGGAACATGTCTATTTTTCCTCAGGAAACAGAAAACCCAGATCCCTGGTGGTAAGCATGTAGCAGCAGGTAGAGAACTGAGCCTGCTGCTAGACCCAGGTGCCAGATGGGGCCCAGGAACTGACCTGGCACACCAGGTTCAGAGCCACGTGCTAAGTCCAGCCCTGTGTGCTGGCTCTGGAGCCACGTTCCTGGTTGGGCCTGGCATACCAGGTTCAGGGCTGTGTGTTGGCTCTAAGACCATATGCATGTTCTGTGTCCAGGATTGCACCCTGGGTCTGGAGCCACACACTGGCTATGTGCTGAGTCGGGCCCTGTGCACTGTCTCTGGGGCCACATGCCAGGTCAGGCCTACTGTGCCAAATGTGGAACCTTATGCCAAATCTGACCCCATGCACTGGCTCTGGAGCCATGTGTTGGGACCCAGTGTGCCAGGTCCAGGGCAGTGTGCCAGGTGCAACCCCATCTGCTAGGTCCAGCCATAGATGAACTCCACACACCAACCCAGTCTACCACATGGGGCAATGTTGTCCAGCTGAAGGAGACCCCCATGGGTCCAGAAATCTGGTAGTGATATGGAAACACTTTATTTACAGGAACTTGTATAAAGAACTCCATACAGTAAAGGGTCTTACTGCTCTCCTTGCAAAGGCCTGGGGCCTAACCTTGTGTGACAGAGTAAGTTCTTCTGGAAAAATGGTGTGTCCAGGAAGTGTGGCATCCCAGAAGTCCTATCTGACATACCGGGAAGTCCTATGGGGCTATCTCCTAGGATGCCACACTTTCTGGACATCCTGTGTTACCCAGAGGACTTATTCCAAGTCATACAGTCATCCATGACTCTGGAAAAATCTTTTTTTCTACACCAGGGGATGGCAACATTTTTAAGCAGAATGCCAAAAATACCTGCAACCTCAGCTTGTAAGATGTTAGTGCACCAGGGCTAGATGGCAGGGGAGCCATGAGGGCCCCAATCCTTGTGGCAGCGCAGCCTTGACCCACCATCTGCCCCAAGGTGCACGTACCAAGCAAAATGCCTTTAAGTGCCACGCTCTGGCACCTGTGCTGGGGGTTGCTTACCTCTGTTCTACACTTTCCCTTCCAAAAACAAAATGCATATTTTATTTGAGGGCACAGGGGTGTTGTGTGTGAGAAAATGCAGGAATACAAACACTCATCTGTTGTTAGGCCTGAATTTCTTCAAATGAGCTGATGCACTTAGCTTTTATGTACCAGTGCATGAAATGAGATGCTCGTTGGACTATCTTTTTTTTTTTATAGATTTATCTCCATTTTTTAGGTTTTTAGGGAAGCTTCTACTATGGGAACCACTGAACTTTAAGAAGTGCTTCATGGAGAGGAAGGCTACATTTTGCAACCCTTCCCTATGGCCTACAGTTTGCTCTAATTTTGTCAATTGCTCAAATAGAACTAGTGTGTTTCTAAATAGAGATTTGGGGGAAGAGTGACTGTTGGAATGACCCCCATTTATTAAGATGTAACATTCTTGTTCCAACAGATTTTTATAACTTTCAGAATTTTGCCACCATAAATATATTTTAAATTGCAATATATGAAATCAGAATTCATCAATTGAAAGTTACTTTGTGTTTTTCTTGCCTTTCTCATTTTGTTATGTGGGCTAAATATTATGGAGAGTATGTCTGCATGCTAATAGATTCTTTCCTACGTGCGTTAGGAAATGTAGCATTATTCAGACGTGACAGACGAAACCTTTTTGCCACCTTGCATTTCATTTGGTTTTTATTCATGCCTTATATTACAGACAAACTAATTTTAAAATATTCTACACAGTCAATGTACAAAAAAGATAGGGCTTTTCACGTTTTAAAGCCAGATGCTTTAGATCCATGAATCTAAATGCATGGAGCTGTAAAACCTTCTAAAATATTTCCTGTGCCCCCCAAATGTTACAGCTTTAAATCCTCTTCTCTTTTAATCCTTTTTCTTTCTAACCCTGAAGGGCTGTAAGTTGACTTACTTTCATAGATGGTAGAGCTGTCCCTGATACAGGGCTGCCTCTTACAGGATAGCTCTGGGAAGAATTCCACATTTGTCAGGAGTGGCAGAAGGAAATAGCTGAGGTTGTTTGAAATTTCCTGGTTCAAAGGAAAATGCTTGAAGGGGCTGAGGGTTTTAGGGTGTGCTCAGAATTCCCAGAAAAATCTGTTAATTGGCAAAAAAAAAAAAAAAAAAAAAAAAAAATGTAAAGGGCATGCAAGATAGTCATGGATGCAGGATAAACAAATGTGCTATATGGATATTGCCTCTTTATATGCAGAGGATGTACATAGTTGTGATTCTTTGCACTTGTGTACCTATATATCACTGGGGAGCTTTTAAACAGAGTTAAAGGCACTAACAGCGCAGTAGCTTAATAATACTGGACAGTAGCACATCACAGCATAAACAGCAGTAATATGCTACTGCACACTATTATTAGGCTACATTAAAAAGGCATTTGCTGGCACTACTGTGCAGTATCTCTGGTTACTACACATTTATTTAGTATTTCATTATACAAGTACTAAATTAAAGGTGCAGTAACCACTGCACATTAATGAATGTGTAGACTTGCCCACTGAGTGGTTAACAAATGGTGTCCAGGGAGGAGCACCTAAAGGTTGTTACGGGAGATGTGCAAACATGATGCGTAAGTGGTAACTTTAAAGAAACTCCACTATATAAATGTGATAAGCTTCAAGTGATTAGTCATGCAGTAAATGACTCCATATAGTTCTTCCCTGGGGGAATAACAAAACTTCATAGGGCATACCCTGCAGATCTTTACTGATTATCAAACCCCAACCTTAGATTATAGTTGCTGCTTATCTCCATACAGGAAAGGCATTAGGGACCTTGCTTTATTTTAATTCTCCAAATTGGAAGCCTCAAACTCACCAACTTGCCAAAGAATTGGATATAATGGTTCAGATCCTTACCTGGTATAAATTGCCAGAGCTCCATTGAAATTTCTCGGCTGTCCTGCACCAGCTGAGAGTCTGTCCCTTTTTTAAGCAAGTTGCTGTTAGTTATGACCTATGTTAGGAACCTCAAACTCCATCTTTCCCCCTTATTACACAGGTTAAAAGGAAAAATAGTGCTAATTTCAATATGGTAGCCCAGAGGGGCAGTTGAATAACCAAAGAACTGTAATGAAAACTTTCCAATAATATTATAATAAAAGGAGTTTCCCTGTATGCATAATACTCTGCAGCCCAGAGTGAATGAATGTAAGAAATATCAGGATTCTGGGCTTGTTGGAAATGTAAAAATGACTTGTGGCTAGAGTATTGTTGCGGCCATGGTGGCCCAGGAAATGTACAAGAGGCAAGGGATTTCTTTGTCATATCTTTTATTGGACTAACCATAGAGTAGAGAGAGACATTAGACAAGCGTTCAGGCAAATATTGCCCTTCCTGAGGACCTGGGAAAGGGATGTTTGAGTTGGAGCTGGGGGTTGGACTAGATCGGTGTTTCTCAATCCATGGGTTGTGACACACAAGTGGGTCACAAGAATATATGGAAAGATCACAAACAA